AACCTTAGTTATGGTCAGTTAAAGTGGGGCATAGCTGGCTGGGGAATTCTGGGAGTTGAAGTCCACACATCTTAAAATTGACAAGGTTGAGAAACACTGCCTTATACACACACAACCTTAGTTATGGTCAGTTAAAGTGGGGCATAGCTGGCTGGGGAATTCTGGGAGTTGAAGTCCACACATCTTAAAATTGACAAGGTTGAGAAACACTGCCTTATACACACACAACCTTAGTTATGGTCAGTTAAAGTGGGGCATGTTTTTGTAGTAATGGGCTGCACCAAGCCTTGTCAATTCTTTCTTAGGCTGCCCAAGTGGACAGGTGGGTAGTGAGCAACATCAGGGCCCACCTTCATTTGCTTTTTCTCTTTTGCATGCACCAAGACTTCATTCACAAACTTGCTACCCTTGGTTACTGAACTCCTCCAATTTCTGGATTCACACAATACAGCGAGATAGGCACTAACTAACTAAACAGGTCAGGTCGTCTGAGCATGCTTAAGCCACAAAAGAAATGATGCCAAACTGAGCCGCTGCAGGTAGGTCTTCACCCTGATCTGGGTGGGCCAGCACTGTTAGGGTGTGTCAGGCCTTCTCTACAGTGCACATCTGGCTAGTGTATACAGGGGTTGAGACTAACATCTCCCCAGCCATCCTGATTTTAGCTGCTTCGGGAAGGCTGAGATTAAAGTTCATCCCAAGCAGGAAACCAGGATTGCTCTTTAGCCTTTGCTTGTAGAGAGAGAAAAGTATCCTACTGTCCCCTCCCCGCCTTCAGCCTGCAGTCTACCTGCAGATTGAAGAGCTAAACGTGAGCAAGGGGACAGTTTCCAAGGGAGAGCTGGAAGGGCGAGGCCACGGAGTGCCTGTCCATGCAGACAGCTCTGCTTGGTGCAGTTTTTTGGACTGGAAATTGTGCCAACCTTTCCCAGAAAGGGTTGGTTTTGAGCTGGGACCTGGGGGGAGAGAAGGGGCTTTGACACAGGGATCGGGGTGATCGTTCCTTGCTGCAAGAGGAAAAGGTTGAGTCCTTGTCAGCAGCTTTGGGGCAGTTACAACTGGTAGAGCTGAAAGAGCGAAGGTCGAGGGGAGAGTGTTTATGAGAAATTAGGAGTCGAGAGAAGGAGTGGGAAAGGTAAAGAAGATGCTGAAAGCAAGAATGAGGAACTGATGGATCTGGGAAGCCACTCTGGTGTCATTGTACAGATAGGCAAAGGAAGGTGCTAGGAAAAGTAATCTGGCCAAATCTGCTTGTTCAGATACACAATTGAGGATCAGATTTGAATCTGAACTTAGGATCAAGCTGTTCTGCAAACTGCGCGTGTGTGAGTGTATTTCAGGATGAATGCTTTTCCTTGTGGCTGTGTGCACACAAGACTCTCTTTTCGTTGGCCCTTGGGGTGGGCAGTCTCTCCAGGTGGCCCCCTCCCACTTCTCAGCAGCTCTTCTGAGTACAGTCCTCCTATTCCAGGCAAAGCCTCAACTTTGTCATCTTCGGACTGAAGTGCGTCTGTTCTCAAAAAAAATATTTTGGGGGATTGGAAAAGAAATAACAGGCTTTTGGAACAGAAAGACAGAAACTTTTCTGTGCAAGGAGGGCGGGTCTGTCCATGGTTGAGCATGGAAGGGAAGAGAGATGGATTCACTGTCTGCCAGAGATGTGGTTTTAGAGGGATGAACTGGAACTTGGCAGCCTACTCGCATTCCTGGGTTAAATGTGATTTTGACAAATTGGTCTAAGATGCTTCACCTTTCTCTTGCTCCCTGATATGTTTAGCTAAGTTGGACTTGAGTTCCCAATCTATATCCTGGAAGGTAATATTTTTATATCTCTGAACATTTAAATGCATTTGGTGCCTAAATCATGGGCTGTGGTGATTTCCTTCCCTGGCAATAAGGATCCTGAATGAAAAAATGGTAGGCAGGGAGGGAGGGAGGTGGGAGGAAGAGTTCATCTAAGTATTTCTGCTTTGTCCCCTTCTTTTTTCTCATTTATCACAACTTCACCACAAATTTAACCTGTTACAGAATTAACCTATTTTCTGGGTCTGTCCTGAACCATTAACTAAATGGGCTAGGTTCACAGAGCCTATTAAGCTCGAAAAAGGCTAACCAAGACTAAGCACGCTGTGGAAATGCAGCCAGTAGGTTTGTAACTGGTTAAGTAGGTTTGTGCAAATGCAAACACTGCCCGCTTGTGGTATGAGATCTATAAAGGCTCGTGAACAGCTGACATGCTGGACTTTTGTGGAGACCGGCACTGATTAGACACGGGTGGGGAATTCCATTCATGCTCAAAGGTATGCTTACTTTTTGCTAAGAACTCCTGGACACGGATCTAGCGCAGGAAAAGGAAATACTCCTAAATATCAGACGGGTGACGGAGAGGGAGAGATTCCATTATGGAAACCTTGATCTTGGACAGGTTATATCGCCTGTGTAAAGCACATTTTCCTTTTTTTCCAGCCAAGATCAATATTGATTCTATAAACATTGAGTGTAAAGAATACATTAAAAATACATATAAAAAACTGAGGCATGTCGGTTCTTTTTGAGGAAGAAATGTACGTGGGAAGGAAGGGTACATAGAACGGGTTCCCTGTGCTGTTAAAGTTTTTAGGAATATCAGTTCATCAGACCAGTGTTTCTCAACCTTGGCAGCTTGAAGATGTGTGGATTTCAACTCCCATGGCTGGCTGGGGAATTCTGGGAGTTGAAGACCACACATCTTCAAGCTGCCAAGGTTGAGAAACACTGCATCAGACTGGTGCAAAGTGCTTCAGATCTGATTTGGTAATTCACAACAGCTCTGTAAAGTAGAACGATGTATATCTGACAGAGGCCATTCAGAGCTTAGTAAATGTGTAATTCTCACATCTGCAGAACTACAACTCCTCCTATCTCTTCTGTATCCCTGCTACTCAGACTGCCCCATCCTTTTGCTTCGATGTAAATCCTCCTTGCTCACCACTTAGCTTCTGAAAAGTCTCCAGGCACTGCCCCCATTTTCCAGACTGCCTTGGTCCAGATGTTGCTGCCTTTTTCCTCCTTATTTGGTATAAGCAGAAATGAATTCTAGCCTAGGATCAACATCTGTGCTTCCTCAGTAGAATTCTGACAGAATGCTTGGCCTTTAGTTTTGAGTGACTTGCATTAGGAGGATTTCTATTGGCATTGAATCTGACCAAGAAAATCTGCTGGAAACAGCCAGGCATTGTTAATTCCACCCAGTTTGGTGCCCCCTGGACCAGTTGAAGCTACAACTCCCAGAATTACAAGCTAGACATTTTGGAACATTCAGTCTGCAGTCCCAAAACATCTGGAGGGCTCCAGGTTGGCCTAGATCCTCCATAATGTGCTTGTTGCTCTAGAGCTCCCAGAAAGAGGCCAGTTGTTTTCTTCCTCCAAGGACTTCTCTGTTCCTTTTCAGAAGACCATGTCCGAAAAGATCCTCGTGACAGGTGGAGCTGGCTACATAGGGAGCCACTGCGTGCTGGAACTGGTTGAGGCTGGCTATGCCCCGGTAGTTATCGATAACTTCCACAATGCCATCCGAGGTAAGGGCAGCACCCAGGAGCTGGTTGGCAGCAAGGTTTGCATCAAGGCTGTTGTTTTCCGTTTAGCAGAGGGCCCTAAATGGAAGGCAGTGGTGAAGTACCTGCTTTGCAGGCAGACTGTTCAAAAAGCTGTTTGCTTGGATCAGTGGCTGAATTCAGGCCTTACTCTAGGCCATGTTTATCATCATGGCTTACTTCACAGGTAATGCTAGTCACAAACCATGGTTGACAAACCACAATGAGTGATTTTATCAAAATACTAAACCAGAATCAAATAAGCCCCAGTGTGTAGGTTGCATCAACTTCACAAATTATGGCTGGGTCTATAAACTAAGCAAACTGTGACTTAGTTGGAATGGGGAGCCAACAGTGTTGCCTCCCCCTTTGACTCCCAGAAGCAAAGAGCCATTTCACCTTCTCCTCAGGGTGACATTGAGGCATTGGCAGAGCCCTCATCTTAATGTCCTTTATTGATCCCTTAAGATGCTGGTGGAAAGGCCAGATTCCAGTCATGCTGTCATTCCCGACATGGACAGCCACTGGGGTTCTGGTAGAAGAGAGGGGGCATCTGTGATGGAATGTCTAACAGACCCTGGGAACATGGAGGCGAGAGAAAGACCATTACAGGAAGATAGAGGGCCGTTACAGAAAAGTCGAGTCCAGGGGAGGGGAGGAAATGCAAGGAGACTCCACCTTAATTGTGCTAGGTACAAGTTGAACTGTATAACTGCTGTGGCAGGCTTTCAAGATTGTTACAGTGCCCTGCTAGCCATGAAGATCTTTCAGCAATACAGGATGGTTCTTGCTTCCTGAGTTTGCTTTCCTCAAAGGGCTTGGCAGTACCAGGGCACTTTGGCTGCATTTTTGAGCAAATGGCAGAGAGGGAGAGCATCTCTGGCTGTTCACAAGAGAGGGAGATGTTTGGCTTACATGACAAGGAAGGAGGAATGGTGGAGGTCAGAATCTTTTTGGTCAAAAGCTAGGAAATCCAGAAGGTCCAGAAGGAGCATCCAGGCTGAGGGTATGTGGTGGTAGGGTTTCTGAATCAGAGGCCTTCTCCCTAAGGAGGGCAGCAGCAGACTGGCATGAGCCCAGTCCATCCAGCATCCCATCAAAACAGCAGCTCTTTCTGCAGGGAAAAATATGGTCCCGGAGAGTATCCAGCGGGTGATGGAGATTGTGGGAAAGGAGATCCCATTTCAAGAGCTGGATGTGCTTGACGAGAGGGGCCTTCAGGAGCTCTTCAAAAAGGTGAGATGATGGCCCTTATCTGACAGCTTAACTTTCCTTTTCCATCATACCAATTATGATGAAACTGAGTCAGCTTCAGTGGTGAGCTGAGTTTCTGCCTGCTGAGCAGCACTAGAAACTTTGCCTTGATAAAAGGCAACTCATCTGCCTTTTTCTGTCTGGTTGCCCCCCTTTTGGTTCTCCACCCCCATCAATCTCGGCAGAGATTTTGTACTGCCCAAGGGCATGCTGCAAAGTCTCCGTAGTTAGATGCCGCGTCAATTTTATCAGGGCTGCATTAACTTCTAGTATGGCTGGTCGTGCTGAAAAATTGCAAAGAACTGTAAGTGACTCAGCCCATACTTGAGGAAATCTGTGCTCTCAGGGTGTGGATGGTGAAACTTTGGCAACTCACCAGCCTATAAAGGACTCCATAAGTGATTCTGCATCATCAGCTGAGCTGAAAGTCATCTGTATTGGCCTTTTTCCAAAATGGGGCCAAAGCCCCCAGAGTGTTTTTGTGCTTTGTGGGCACCCATCAGAGAGGGATGGGCAATCTGTGGGGTGCAGACACTCCCAAGCCCAATGTCAGTGGCCCCAGAGTCCAAAATTGTGCTGCTGAAATTTAGCAGCAAAATGAGCACCTCCCATTTGTGGATTGCTTTCTTCCTTCAGTTTCTTTTTTCCTTTGCGGGGCTTTTAAGGATGGACATAGGAGCCCAGAAGCCAGTGAGAAACAAACACTTCCAATTCCTGAAAAACAGCAATCTCAGAGAACCTTATGGTGCATTTTTGCGTGGCTTTGGGGGTGGAAGGAAGTCACCATATGGCCACTGAATGGTCATTCTGGTCCATACTCCATACAGTCAGGAGGCTGAGCCCCCAGATTTTATCTCCCCAGTTTAGAACAACACCTTAAAATATTTTAACTGAAAGGTGAACTTCTCTGACTTAAAGGTTAATATCTTTGACTTGGTGAATTTTTATTCTGAGTAACAACAGTGACATTATCTTATCTTGGCCCATCTTCCATTTCCGGACAGCATCACTTTTCTGCAGTGATACATTTTGCGGGTCTTAAAGCTGTTGGAGAGTCAGTCCAGATGCCCCTGGAATATTACAAAGTGAATCTGACAGGGACCATCCGGTTGCTAGAGGTGAGCTTCCATTATGCAAGGTTATAGTGAAAGTTTGACTGGGGAAAACATTGTGGGGAAGATCTCATTCAGTTGCCAGCAAATGTATCTGAGAAGAGCAGAAATCAGGAGAATTTGTACTAGGACCTGGGACTGGAATGGCCATTTTTATTGATCTGCAGATCAGAACTTCTAGGGCTCAAATGTTGACAGGCCAGAGTCACTTGGCCAGAAGTTGAAACCCTGCAACTGTTGTGTTGTACAGCAGCATCCCGCAAGTGATTATCAGAGCCTTTCCCAAATTCTCCAAGTTTGTTGGACTTCAGTTTCTCTAGCCCCCAAGTAGCACATGGCTGAGGAATATGGGAGCTGGCTTCTAGGACATCTAGAAGCAGTCCAGTTGGGGTCAGCTTAAGATCTTTTAAGGCCATCTTGGGTGCTAACAGGGGACCCCATACAAAAAAGCCACAATAACATGGTTATATAATATATAAGTTATAACAACTCTCACTGAGTGCTGGGATGGGCATTAATCAGCTGTACCGGTCTTCATCATCCAGAGCCATGCTGGCCTGGATAAAATAAGGCTGCAGATTCCTGTGCAAGGAAGCTATGTTGGCCCCATTGTCAGGTCTGTCTGCTGCTCCTGACCTGCTTCAGGTCAGAATCTAGCGCGTCTGCCTTTTTCTGCCCCTCTCAGGCCATGAAAGCCCATGGAGTCAGGAACATAGTATTCAGCAGCTCAGCCACAGTCTACGGAGACCCTGTTTACCTCCCTCTTGATGAGAAGCACCCAGTCGGCAGTTGCACCAACCCTTATGGCAAATCCAAATATTTCATTGAAGAGATGATCCAAGACTTGTGCAAGGCAGAACCAGTAAGAGAGCAACGCTGCACTTCAGCTCCCATTTAGAGCCTGCTCTGTCCAACCAGATTCCTTTGCATGTTCTTCTTTCTCCTAGGAGTGGAATGCTGTTCTCCTGCGATATTTTAACCCCATTGGAGCGCACAAGTCAGGAAAAATTGGAGAAGACCCCCAGGGCATCCCAAACAACCTGATGCCTTATGTTGCTCAGGTATCCAGATCTTGAGAAGAGTTTGTGCTACTCCATCAGCTGGGGTGAGATTTTCTCAATTTGTTTTTTATCTCTTCATTTTCATCTTCTGCCTGTTTCAGGTGGCTGTGGGGCGCAGAGAGTACCTGAACGTCTTTGGGAACGATTATAACACAGCGGATGGGACAGGTGCGTGTGGCTCAAAATCATCCAAACTTGAAAATGAAGTCCCCATCCCCATCAAGGCTGGATGGAGAAGTTCAGTGAAAAGACCATAGTGAGAGTTGGAATTTGGGACTTTTCCCCAAGGGAGATGTGAATATATTATCACGTCAATTATTTTGTAACCAGGACTTTCTTTCTTGGCATCTTAAACCAGGGATAAGCAACCTTTTCCTAGAGCAGGCATCTCTGGTTCCTATACATGTTGCCCAGGTATAATTACAATAGCCAAAATCTCAAGATTTCATTAGTCGCTCTCTGAGACGTTTCAGGATTTCATGCCAGAAGTCTCTCTCAGATTTGTTAATCCCATAAAATTTCAAGCACTTTATAAAAGTCAATTTATTTGGCGGGGGGTGGTTGTGAGTACCATTTATGGCAACATTTTGCTAACCTAAGTCCTAAAGCCCTTTCCTAGTAAAATTATTTGAGTGCTAAACTACTGGATAAAGGAGCAACAAAGTGTCCAAGGGCTACTTCAAAATGGAACTACGTGCGTTCACCTCCTGGATCTCAAACACTAATTTTTTCTTTTGGAACTGAGACTTATTAGAGAGCCCCTCCAAGCCTCAGGGAATAGACAGGCAGTTCTGGTTGAGCAGGATTCCTAAATGGCTTGGGAAAGAGACAGTATTAACTCCATCGATGGCCTAATGTGCATAATTAGTTCTCTGTTATATGTACTGTGAGCATGTATTTTCCTAAGAGGATGCACATCTCCTAAAGTTGTGGCAATACATGTGCACCCAGCTGAGTGAACAGAACACTGACAGGCTGTTCTCCGATAGGCATCCGGGATTATATCCATGTAACCGATCTGGCAAAGGGCCACATTGCAGCCTTGAAGAAGCTCAAGGAGAACTGTGGATGTAAGGTAAGGAAGTTCATAATAAAAGCGTCCACCCTTTGAGAAGGAAAATGCCCTGTTGAGATCAAATGATGTCTTCATAATTCTTATTTTTCTTACTTCATTTCTGAATTACCTTACAATGAAGAAGGAGAGCAAATGTCATAGCTTTCAATCAGATGCCTCTCTTAGAGGACTTCAGACCTCTCCACTGCACCTACTGACCACCCACCTCAACCCACTAGTCCCATACTGAAAACAAATACATGTAGCCATCCCCTCCAACCTTCTCACATTTAAGCCTTTCTTTGCTTCCCCCTCCCCTTCCAATGAAGGAGGAACATCGAAAAATGTAATGAGCAAAAACATGCATCTTACAGATTTACAACCTTGGAACTGGTGTTGGCTACTCGGTCTTGCAGATGGTCAAAGCCATGGAGAAGGCATCTGGAAGACAGGTAGGCTGACCAACCAGATGAGGTGCAGGGACTGACAGCCAGTATGGGCTCTACTACTCCAGGACTTAAAAGTGCCTGGGATCCGCACCTTGAGATCCGATTGTGAAGACACCCAGACTCTCGCACTCTGGGGCTTTCAGCAGGAATCCACCTTCTGCTCTGCTTGGCTTTAAGCTCAGCCTGGGACCTAACCAGTCTCTCACTCGGCCTTAGTAGCTGCACCCAGCTCATTTTCCAGAAATTTAACGGCAAGCTTTTTACTTTATTCTAGATAAACTACAAGATCGTTGAACGCCGAGAAGGGGATGTAGCCTCTTGTTATGCCAACCCTGGTCTAGCTGAGCGGGAGCTGGGTTGGAAAGCTATCTTTGGCCTCGACAAAATGTGTAAGTAGAATCTTTCCACTTGCCGCTCATCCTTCAAGGAACCTTCTGCTTCCCCCTCCTGCTGGGGAAGGAAGTGGCCATCAACCCTCCCCAGTACATTTTAATACCTACATAAAGGCAAGCTGCTTTGATTAACCCTTTTTGTTCCTCTCTTTCCCCTCTCCCTTGTTTTCAGGTGAGGACTTGTGGCGGTGGCAGTCACAGAATCCCACCGGTTTCAGCAAGAACTAGGATATAGAAGATGTTCCCTGTTCTTCCCACGTACAACCACTAGCACATTAGTGCTGACCCAAGGGCTGACTAGATTTGAAAAGGGAAGAAGATGGTTCATGCTCCCATTTCTTCTCTTTTTTGGAGCTGAAGCATCACACCAGAAGAGGAGGATGCTATTACCTTCTTAAGCTGACTGTTCTCTTCTCCTCATCTCATCCTCTGCCAGAAACTCAGAATTTTTTACGGATTGAGGGGATATATTTTTTACTGAATGAGGAGCAGTGGGACACCTGGCTGGATGTCACAGGATGCCAAAAGCCAAGTGTTTTCCTAGAGCTTGGTTGGCTTTGGGGGAATTCAGCCCATGACTCTTTGGCGTTTTTGGTTCCAAGAGATGAGAGCTGCTCAGGGTCAAGAGAGCAAGATTTGACAGACCTGATGCTTTTGTTTGAGAGGAAAAGGCAAGATAAACAAAGTGGTTAAAAACCTAAGCCTGGGGGTGGTGAAGAGGGTTTTGTCATTCTCTCAATTTCTTTTTCTAAATTATAAACAGTACACTCCCATTTTTTGAGCAAAATAATAGTAATAGAAGTATCTCTTTAAGCTAAGCTATAAATTTTAACATTGCTTAGACTATAGTCCAAAGTCTGTTGGGCTAGTTGCTGTCTAAAACAGGCTTCACAGATTCTTAGTGAACCTTTTAGTTCTTTGGGATAGTGATACAACTAAAGGCACTATATGCAGTGATATTTCTATTGTCTTGAAAAGAGATGCTCCCTCCCCTTTTTTTATATTGTAAATTGAAAAAAAAAAGAGCATTAGGAATAGTCTTCCAGCTAGGTAGATGAAAAGTAAAACAAGATGGTCTACATGGAACAAGTGACTCCAAAAGTATTCAGTACCGTGACTGTCGATACAAGATTTAAGCTGAAGTCAGATTCTTCTGCCAAAGGCATCAACCACCTATTTATAACTAAGGTGGCAGGAAACCAAAGGTCTTGGAATCCCAGGCTATGTTTCTTAAGTTCCGCATTTCAAGACAACGTTCAGGATCCAAAGGCCTATCAAACTAGACAAGGACCCCAGACACCACCATTTTCCTCAGATAGCAGCTACTCTAGAAAGTTTGACATGGCTTCTAAAGCATCTTGATCAAAGAGCAGGGAGGGAGGAGAGGCCACTTGTAAGAGGTGTAGAGTCGTGGGGTACAAGACAATTCCAGGGCTCGTTGCTGTGAAAGAATCTGGAATATTATGCTGGAAATACAACACTTTAGACACTTGTGCTTTTTAAAACATTTGCAGCAGCAATTCCTTTGGCCTGTTTCCATTCTTCGATGAAGAGACCAATTTGGTTCTAGTGCAAATCACTACCTCCTTCCTTGGTCGTATAGATGACTTCATCACGCAAAGCCTAATACAGGCTTGTTTTGATACACTGAATATGAACTAAATCCCATCTCTGTTTCCACTGGAAGCTACTATTTTAGGCTCTGGATCTAGGACCATCTGTTTACAGACAGCGTTTAGTGCAGCATAAGGAAATCTTGCTCTGGTTAACATTTTTGTTTAGCTTCTTATGCCAACTTGAGTTTACATGTTAAGAGCAAATTTTATTTTAATTTCCATACTGTAAACTGCTTTGTCAAAATCCTGGTACAGGGGCCATCCATCAGGGAAGCGATTAGATTATCTTCAAGGTCCCTTCCAACCCATACATTCTCGAATCTTCAATGAAATTCCAGCCTTTGGGTTAATTCAGAAGAGCAAATGACAGACACTAGTGGAATATGTTCTTTCAATAAGGGGCAAGATGGAACAGCTCTATCTGCTTGGCTATAAATTATCTCCCTTTCCATTCCTGCTCCATTCCTCCATTAGATGCTACTGAAATATATATATATTTATTCTTCTTAACCTTTATTTTCTGCCTTCCACACTATTATGCACAATCTAGGGCTCCTGGCCAGTAACTCACAAGTGACTTTTGAAATCTATTTTTTTCCAATCTTAGCCCTGTTAGGATAGTCATTTGGTGAACAGCTCTTAAAAGAGATTTAAATAGCTTTCAAGATCCAGGACATCAGTGTTATAAGATTAACATTAATGTGCATATACATTGAACAAAACTAACTTCTGGATGCTTCAAGAGCAGGAATGGGCAACCTTTTTGGGGCCACAAGAGTTTCACTTAAAAATAAAAACTGGCTCCAAGGGCTGTAAAGTGGGTGATTGCTTTTGCAAGGAAACCTTTCCTTTCAGGCACTCTCAAGCGGGTAAAAAATAATTTTAGTACAGATTTAAGAGATCACTATCACAGTAAATATGCTATGAAAAGTCTGAAAAATGAAAAAAGGTAGCAACAACTTCAATTGCCCTAGGTCACCCCCCACTTTTTTAAAAATCCATCCAATCATGTCTGATTCTTGGAGACTGCCTGGATAAGTCCCTGCAGTTTTCTTGTTACCCATTAGCCCTCTTTAGATTTAAATTAATAGGTTACCCATTAGTCCTCTTCAAAGGAAGCCAAAGGTTGCCTGCTCCTCCCCAAAAGTCAAGCTTCCTGAAGAACTGAACCAGGTGAAAGAAGCACAGGGGAAATGCTAACAAGCTATTTGATAACAATGCCCCAGGGATACCTAGGAAAAAACCAGTGATGTTAAGACTAAATACATTGGATAATGATATTATTGCTGTAATAAATTATTTACTTTTGAAGTGTTAATGGGAATTGGTTGTTGATGGCAGTGGCATATCAATAAATAATGAATTTGCAGTATTCATTGGCTGAGTTCATGCAAGATGTTTAGTTATGGGCTGCTGAATAAACCGTAATTGCTTAAACTATTTATCATGGTTTATAAAGGACTCTGGCTGGATTCCCGCAATGTATTTTATTGTAAACTACATTTCAAGTTAGCATGTTAGGTGGTCAGGCTCCAATATGCTCCTTTGGACACATTATGTGAAGACCCAGCTCTCTGGAGAAAGCTCTGATGCTGGGAAAGGTGGAAGGAAAGAGAAGAAGGGGACGACCAGCAGCAAGACTAGGAGCGATGGGTGCACTGTTGGAAGACCCGAAGGACCAGATTAGGGACAGATTGTCATGGAGAAAATCTATCTATGTGGTTGCTAAGAGATGACACCGATTTGATGGCATGTAATCAATCAACATCAGGATTAGGTGAGCCATGCCTCTCTTAAAAAATTAAATGGGAGAGAAAGAAGAATAGAGAAAGACTAAAAACTGTTCAAAACTACTTTAGGTCCATCTCTGTCACTGACCAATCCTCAAGATCTAGTTCTGATGGAAGGCCTGGCTTAGTTTACTGAGCAAATGGGCACAGCCATGTGGTGAAGCAACTCTGCTGACTGGTGGGTGGGATGGTCTGGACTCTGCCTGGCAGGATTTGCAGAACCTGCAGGGATGCTCTCAGAGGCCTGGAAGACAATTTCGCCCGCAGGGAAAGAATGCCAACTATTCCTTCAGACAAAATTTCTGATTTTTGCTTGGAGTTACAGGTTCCCTAGAGGGAAGAGAGGCTGGCTGCTCAGGGGAAAAGCACCTGCTTTGCATTCAGAATGCCCCAAATCTGAAACAATGGTCAAAGAACTGAGCTCAGAGAAACCTCAGAAAAGCCCCGTGAAACAGAACAGAGAAGAACAGACCTAACAAGGAAAATAAAATCAACCCTCCCTCCGAGACTACTTTACAGAGAGGCACCTCCCTTCCAAACAGCAACAGTGCTACGCTGCACGCAGGCTGTTCATACCCCTTTGTACTGAATTCCAGATCAATCCCTGGGTGCGGACACCACACAAAGTTACACCATGGATCACCTCACCCACGACTGGCTTCACTCAACACACCAGCATGGAAAAGGCTGCTGTAAGCAAATCTGAATAGGCATGCAGAGTCCAGGGGCAGCAAACGGCTTTTTCTCTGGCTACCCAGCCCCCCACAGGCAGGCAGTCAAGGGCTGACCATCCCAAGTTTCTGATGTTCATAAGAGCTGTCCAACGTATAAAACCCTGCCTGCAAGAGAAAGTGACACACCGCGGCTAGGCTTTAACAAACCAAAAGGTGAGGCACCAATGGTGGTTTCGGTTTAATCTTAAAGGAAGGAACACAAAAATTAAAACGACGTGTGAGGAAGACAAAGGGAAGGGGAGAAGAGATTGTTGAGATCCCCTTGCAGGAACAGAGAGAAGCCATCTTCTTTCGTGGGCTTCTGTGTTTGCTACCCGTTCCTTCTATACCACGCAGGTCACGTTGACAGCTGCTTTGGAAAGGCCCAGAGAGGAAGCTGGGCCAGCAGAAACCAGAGCAGTGATCTCTCTGCTCGTCTGCAGGACAGTACAAGTCAGTGGCCTGAGAGGAGGTGAGCCGCAGCAACAGCCAACCTACCTGCCCACCCGCAGCCCCTTGTGTTATCTGGCGCAGAAGGAAGCTGAAATGCAGTAGCACATGGAGGATGTGAGATGGTCAAGTAGGCTGCCATACTTCCTACTACAAATGTGTGCAGAACCTAATTTAGCCAAACAAACACTCCTCTTCAAGAAAGAAACCAGCAGAAAGGGGAAGAAAAGGTGAGCCGGGATTCCCTTTATTTGCTGTTAGGTTTTACTTGCAAAGTTTTTTTTTTTTTAATGGAAGCATTTAAAAATGGTATCTGCGCACACGTGTAGTCCGTTCAGTGGAACAACTCATTTCACCATCTCAGAATCTGACCGCTGCTTTCTAGTTTTACAGCAAGATTGGGCATGAGTTTTTCCCCCGTCCATTAGCACCTCTGAGTGCAAGTCAGACAGCTGCAGAAGCAATTCCTTTGAAACGGGCAACGCAAATGAGCTTGAAAAGAATGCTTTCTGTTTTCTGGACAAGGACAGGAGGCTCCTCTGAACGTGCTCAAGACAAACTTCTCCTCTTCCTCCACCACTTGACTTTTTACCTGTGTGAAGAGGAACCTGTCCGAAGCTCACAAATCAGGCTTTGTTTGAGAGGTCCCTGCAATCTGGAGATGAAGGGAGGTGGGTGAGCCATCCTCTGCTCATGGGGGGAAGTGCACGAAGAGGCAAGGCCTCTTCCTCTGCCCAAGCCACACATCCCTGAACTGGGTGGCTCTGCTTTGCCACGCCGCTGCCTCACTCATGTCACCTCCGTGAGTTCAGCTTCAGGGAAGAAGAGCCGATTTTACAGAAAGCACTGACAATGGTGGCTGCAATACCAAGCATGGGGCAAAAGGGGGGGTTGCAGCTCGCAAGCATCTCGGTTTAGCTGCCAAAACGCAGTGAAACCTCAAAATGGGTTGTGGCATGTTGGGTAAGCCTGTCCCTGTCCCATCAGAAAAGCCGGGAGGGGAAAGGGAGAGATTTGTCCTAGTCCTGGGTCTCAGGACTCTTCTTACTGCTGTTGCCGACTGCAAAGGTCGGCATAGGACAGGGAGAAGGAAGGGCACAAAGTCCGCACACAGAACAGATGCTAGGGTGGCACACGAGACAAGACTAGCCCTTCACCAAAAGAGAAGAAAGGAAAAAAAAATGCTCCTTTTGAAGTTGCATCCCGTCCCTGGCCGTCAGTCCTATGATGAGCCCACAGGGATAACTACTGGAGCAAGGGAGAAGAGGAGGAGAAACACTGCTGCTGTTCAACAGCACATTGCTCTGAGGCAGAAGCCTGATCCAGGAGAAGACAAGAGACAATGGACTCAGGGGACGACACAGAAAGGGGGAGGCGGGGGGCACAATTCTGGCAACGTGGCACACACCGAAACCCAGCTTGCCCTAGCTTGATGTGACAGGTCAGGAACACAAGCTGGCAGAGCAGGCTAGGAACAGCCATTGTCTGAGCACCCGAAGTACTGCCTAGGCTGTAAGAGGAGTTGACAGGGACTTTACTCTAGCGAGGTGCAGTGGCTGGAGCCACTGTGAGTCCACTCCCCTGAGCCACCACTTTCTCCTTGTAACAATAAAACAAAAAGGATTCCATGGGTCACGGATAAAGGCAGCACAGATGAGAGGGTGGAACACAACAAAGTAGTCCATAACACGCAACATGGAGTGATTCTGGGCACGGTGGGGCCTCTCCACTGCTTTATCACTCCAGTCAGTGCAGGGACTGGTGGAGCAGCCACCACGGCCACAGGCTACATCTGGGGGACTGACTGTGGCTCTCCGACACAAGACAACTCTTCCTCTTTTTTGCTGATGGAAGTTCGGAGGAGAGTTTATGGTACAGAGCGTGGCAGGCTGATAGCCTTACGTGGAGCAGAAACAGATTTGTTGCCTTGCCAGGCCAGAGAAAGCTGAGCCCGCCTGCACCACTACGATGGTTCCAGTGAAATAGGAAGTGGGACGGGTTGAGCATCATTGGGGGGGAGGCAAATACTGGAATAGCCAGAACACCATCTCTTAATACCTTTTGCTTTAAGCCTCTGGCTACCATGCAGTTCTTTGCCACAGCAGGCAGTTTATGTTTAGATTTTGGGGGAGGGAGTGGGGGTGGGGGGGAAAGAGACAGAAAAGGAGAGGAGAGAATAGGGAAATACTGAAAGGTGATCAAAATAATAATCTGCAAGGTTAGGATCTCAGCTGTACCTTAAAACCGCTTGGTACCTTCACTTGGTACCTCAGCACCCTCCCCTCACGTTGCACAGGAGGGGGGGACAGTGCAGGCAGGAGGGGAAGGCTCGAGAAAGGAGACGGACTGACTGGTGTGGAGGTGGATTGCCATGGCTTCCAATTGCAGCCAACAGGTCAAGGGTTCAAGATCAAAGCTGGTGACCTCTGTCTCCTCTCCCTGCAACAGTCTTGAGTAGATCGGCTTAAATCCTGGGCAACAGCTTCTCAATGAAGTCTTTCACAGCCATCATCTCCTGCACAGATTGAAGAGGAGGGGGAAATGTTTTTTGTTTTTTTTTAACTTCCTGAGGCCAAGCTAGAGAGAGGGACCTACCCAAGAAGCACGGACGCTTCCCTTCCTGCCCCCCCAAGTCCTAGGATACCCAAAACATTATCAGTAAAAACTCAGTATGTACACTTAGAGACCTTGAGGCTGTTCTACACCACAAGGGGGGCCCAGAAACTTTAAGAAAAACATCTCAGACATGGAAACAGGTTATTTTAGGAATATTCCCTCCCCATCAGTTGCTATCCCAGAAACGTTCAGCAAACCTTTGGTGACACATGTTCAAGGAAGTTTGTAGCAATTTTAATATACACATGATTTTACTGCCACTGACCAAGAATGCTTGCTTTGCAGAGTTAGTGTTTTAAATATACACATATCCCGCTACCATAAATCTCTGCAGACATTCGCAGCAGCCTAACACAGAGCACAAGCTCAGCCTATCAGCCACCTGAGATGTGGCTTTTCTTAGAAAGCTGTAGTGTATATTATGTAAGAATGGCTTCCTTCCATACAGGGCAGTGTTTCTCAATCTTATCAAGGTTAAGATGTGTGGACTTCAACTCCCAGAATTCCCCAGCCAGCATGGCTGGCTGGGGAATTCTG